AGTTTTCAAAATGAATAAATATTCACGAACTCAACTAGTCATCCTCATCGACATTGGTATTTGTAATTTCTATTGAATTTTAATATTAATGGATTCATTAATCCCAGTTCAAACTGGGAGCGGTGTCACATATTTAGTTACGGGAATTTTTCACAAGTATGCCTAAAAGTGAAAATAATATCAATTTTTTCACCTTTAACTTTGATTTCAAAAATAGTTTTGCTAAGCTTTTTTCTTTCAAAAATAGACTACATATATAAAGCACCCGGATGGCCGCATGCATCTATTGGAAACACTACTATTATCAGATCAAATGCACATACGTTTCGAATCTTACTAAGGTTTTAGATCCTCAAGTGTACCAATTACTCAAAACTTTGTTTTTGCATGAAAAATGTTAGAATTCATTAAAATTCAAACAATGATAATCATTACAAAAGAATAAATGACAAAAACTAAAATTTAATTAAAAAGTAAAAAAATACTCAATGTAAAGAAAAAGCATATAATAGATGAAGTCTTGTAAAGTAAGTTTAAAACGTCAAAACCGAATTTCAATTTTAAAAACAAAACGTTTAAAAATTAAAAATAAAAGAGTTTAAAATAGTTAAATATGTGGGAAAATTATAAAAATATATAGAATAAGATTTTTGTGATGAAAATTTTAAAATTGTTAATAAAATTTATTTAAAATATAAAAATTGAAATTTTAATTCCAAAACTACTTACAAGATAGTGAAAAGTAATAATAATATACGATTTTTTTTTTATAATAAGATAAAAAAAAATTCAAACTGTTAAATAGAATGAAAAGTAATTAGAAAATTTTGTGAAAAAAGATATTATTTTGAAATTCTTGGAAATATGCATCTTATTAAAAACATTGAATAAATATATACTATTTGAAACTTTAAAATATTTAATTTAAATTTTATATAATAAAAAAATAGTAAACAAGTACGTAGTATTACATAGAGTTATAAATAATCAAAAAATTAATGTAACCTGAAACAGTTTAAAATTAAAATAAATTCATATAATAAAATATTAAAAATTAAAATAAAGAACATTAAAAAACTGAAAATTTTAAAAAATGCTAATTTTTATGTAAAATTTCTTTAAGCATAGATTTTTTTTATATTATTATTATCATCATATTATTGTTAGTTTTTGTTCCCTATTGTTTCTTTGTGTTTATTTTTGTTTATAACTGTTGATTTTAAGTCCAACATAAACTAATAAATATAGATATAATTTGGTATCAGACTCGATTTTTATGTGGAAATCCGAAAGGGAAAAACCATGAGACTTTTTAGTCTAACGTCCAAGCCCGCTCTTTCTCATTATACCCTCCTCACCATTTACATAATACATATTGTCGGAACCTCCATTAATGGAGTTTATGAGCTCATCTAATCTACGAAATAAGAAGCAATTCCCAGGGGAGGAGAGCTGAAGTTGGATCCTCTAAATAGGAAGCACATCCCCCTATTTATAGAAGGGGAGTGGAGTAAGGGTGATTCTAATGGGCCAATAGGCCTTAATGGGTCGGTTGGACCACAATGGACTGGCTAGGCCCATTTGGGCATCGCCGAATGGGCTCCATACCAGGGTGATGCCTTGTACTTCTGAACAGTAGTAGGCCGGGATAGTATTCCCCAACAATAACTTTGAGTTTTTGTTTCTTACAGTTTCTTCATGTTTCTTGTTGTAGGTTGTATTAATAAATTTAAATTTATCGTTTTAGATGATTGCATAAAATTCTATATAATACATTTTATTGCAAAGAAGCATCAGTGATGAGTAGAAATGTAAATAAATAATTAAAAATGAAATCAACTATAATCAACTTTAAGTAACACGTTACAACAAAAAACAACACGTTGCAACAACATGCAACACATTGCAACAAAAAGCAACACCTACCATTCAACAAAATGCAACAAAAAATAACCTAAAGATGTATCACAATAGATATATAATTTCATCTATTCCTTCAAATTAGTACATTTACAATATTATTTGACTTTGCTTCTTATGATTTCTTCTTCATTTTATGCATCTTAACACACAATTCTTTTTCATATCTAGTCATGGACTCGGGCCGGTTCGGTCCCGATCGGGCCTCTGGTTTTTAATAGGTGGGCCCGAGACCGGCCCGAGGTAAGAACGGTTCCGGTGCGGGCCGGGCCACCCGCCGGGCCGGGTCGGGCCGGGTAATTTTTTTTTACTATACGTATTTATACTTTATAGTTTTATACAAGTATTAAAAAAAACTTCAAGTGCATTTATTTGAAATTAAATAGGAACTACATTTGACAATTGAGAAAAAAATACAATATGCAATACATTTTGTAATCAATCGGAATTTTCCGGTCATTTTGCTTTGTCACATGACTTAATATGCTTCTTGGCCATCCCGTATCCGCGTGAAATCCCCAAGCTACACTTTTTCAAACACCATTTGCAAGTTGTGTACCACATCCCGGTCCTCGGGTCCTTCTACGTATAAAAATTATACGCAATAACGGCATATTGACTTTCCATCTTAAAAATGGTAGATATAATAATTCTATAAATACTAGAATAGATGGAGACGAAGATGGAGAATGGAGATTGGATACTGGAGAAGATTTGAATAAAAATGTTAGAAAACAGGAGTATTTATAGAATTTTTTTTTACCCCCACCTCCCACCCCACTCCCACCCCCAGGACACCCTTGATTCAAGCACCCAACAGCTATATAGCCGTTTGGGGCCTTGAGGCTTGAGCCTTTGATTTCAATTTTTTTTTGTTTATTTTAGTTTGAATAAATTACATAATGTAAAATTAATTAATTAATTTAATGAATTAAGTAAAACTATTTTTACTTAGAAACTAAGAAAAGTAGTGTGATTTAGAATTTACAAATGTCACAAAATATGTGTATTTATACAAATTACATATTGAAAACCTAATTTTAATTTAAAAAAAGCTTTAGACAAAATAAATTGTAAGTTGTAACCAATTAATTAATTTGAGAAGTGCTACATATAAAAAAATGAACGTATATTTATTTGAAATATGAACTACAAGTTTACAAGTTACAAATGAGAATTGAAGGAAAAATTAAAACATGAAATACTAATCAATCGAAATCTCCGGCATAGGTAGAGCCACCATCGGTTGTTGATTCATCCATAAAGTGTTGGGATGGGGTGATGGCAATTTCTTGAGCTCTACGGGCCGCCTTCAACCAATCGTGGTAGCATATAAGCGTCTCAACCTTATTCTAGATTGCGTTAGGACATTGCCAGCCGAACTAAATTCTTGTTCCACGACAACTGTTGAAACCGGCATTGATATCACTTGCTTAGCCATCTTCGCTAAAATCAGGAACATTCTTTCTTTTCCCTTCCACCAGTTTAGAACGTCAAATTCATCATGCAAATATCTACCACCTTCCATCTAAAAAATGTAACAAATATTAATTTATAAAAACAATTCGAACTAATGAAATAAAATTTTAACAATTCTAACTTTAATGAAATAAAATTCTAACAATTCTAACTTTAAAGAAATAAAATTCTAACTTTAATTGAGTAATGAATTAACTAGTTTTTTGTACTAGTTATTTGAACTAATCAATAGTGTTTTTAATAAATACTTAAAACTAACAATTAACTAGTTTTTTGTATTAGTTATTTTATGTACTAACAATCAAAGTATTACTCCCCCCGTCCCATAAAATTCTTCCCATTATCCTTTTTGGGTCGTCCCAAAAAATTCTTCTCACTTACCATTTTTGGATAATTTGTGTGGTTCACATTCTTTTCACCCTTTTCTTACGAAACCACAACCATACATTTCCACTATATTCCACTTTCTTAATCTCTGTGCCAAGTCAAAGTGAGAAGAATTTTATGGGACAGGGGTAGTATATAAAATGTACTAATTCGTACTAAAATGTACTAACAATTCCAACTAAGGAAATAAAATGTACTATCATTTAATGTACTATCAAACTAACAATTTTTTAGCAAAAATTGTAATGAACTAAGTAACTATTTTAATGAAAAATGTAACAATTCGTGGGAAAAACAAATGGAAGTAATAGAATGAATTTAACTAATATTTATATACTAATTAAGTAGATATAAGTAGATAATAAGTAGAGATTAAGTAGATAAGAAATATAAGTAATATAATATATGTATTAATAAATAGATAATTAATATATAAGTAGATAAGAAATATAAGTAATATAATATATGTATTTATAAGTAGATAAATAATATAAGTAGATATAATATATTGAAGAATAAGTGAATTTGAGAAAATGAAGATGAAGATAACTAGAGAGTAGGATTTAGGAAGAGTTGGAGAAAAGATATGGAAAAATGTTCAAGATTAGGAGTATTTATAGTTTTTTTTACCCCACCCCACCCTCCCCCCACCCCCCAAACTGCCCGGACCCCCCCTGCCAGCCCACCCAACGGCTATATAGCCGTTTGGGTAGTCCCAGCCCAGCCTAACAGCTCTTTTGGCCCAAAACAAAAACAAAACAAAAAAAATAAATTTGACCGTTGTGACCCGGATCCGGCCAGGCCGGGTCACGTTTTGCCGGAACCGAGACCGCCCCCCCGCTGCCCCCGGTTGGGTCTACATCCGGTCCCGGACCGCCAAACTGGGTCGGTTCTGGACCCGCACAGTACCGGGCCGGGCCGGGTCATGTGCCGGGCCAGGTCATAGGCTGGGTGGCCCGAACCGAATCCACCCCTATTCATATTTGACTCTCTTGTCGGTCGTTTTCCTCCATTGCCATATCAGTCTTATTATCACCTTGCTTGATGTGCTTCTTTATTTTCTACACCTGCAACAAAAATGAAGTCACTGTAACACAAAGTTTGATTCTTGTTATCCATTTTTAGTTTCTACTAGCACTCCAGTGAAAAAATCCCTAAATTGAAAGGGTTCATCTAAACCTCCACCGGGATTATTTACTTTTTAAACTTGCCAGGACTAACTTTTTGCGACTGATGTGGTCAATGGGGTTAATTTCAAGGATTGTGCCTAAGCCATTCATCAATGCAACAATAAGTGAGATAAGCAACGCTATTTGGTTTGAATGGAAGCCATCCATTTGCACTATCGTTGGACTATATTACATTAGTACATGACTATATTGATGCCTATCAACTGTTGGAATGTCTATAATAAATCCATATTGCCTATTTCACTAGTGAATACTGGTATACTAGTATTTCAGAACATACAATATATTAACATGAGGAGTCTAATAAAGCACATGTAGTCCAGTTCTAGCGAAAAATTCAAGTCTAAGCTTCTTTTGATCTGAAACATCTGTGTATCTGATAGATTTCTTCCTCTAAGCGATACGGGTCATAGATTTTGGAAAGAACAACTGTAGCTTCTGATTTATCATTCTGCAAAAGGGTTTGGTACTTTAGTTTGGTTTTTATGTATTCCCAGAGAATTGACACATGTATAACAAAAAAGTAAATAAAATGTTGTTAAAATGGACATTCACCTTATCATAGTTACAATACCTTCATTAGAGCTACCGTCGGAGACTCGGGCATGAATAACATCACACATAACAGTATAACAGCCGGCACAACAGACACTCCAAGCATCCATCCCTAAGTCTGTGGGATCGACTTAGGGATTTACACGGGACAAACTATTGTATAACAGAAAAATAAAAATCAACGGGGTGAACCGTTGCCCAGATAATCAACGATAAAACTACCGTTGCTCAGAGCCAAAAGGCTAAAACCAATTTTATTCCAAGATAATAAGAATGAACCTTGGCGAGGGGTATAAATAGCCTTCTACAAGAAACCCTAATCAAGCCCAAATTAATTAAACTCTAATTAAGCCCAAATTAACTCAACTAACTACTCTACTAATAATAGGCTCAACTAAAACATAACATTAACTTAATAATAATTAACTATAAAGACAGCCCTAACCCGGCCCACGGAAGTGGGCCCAAGCCCGGTCCTGCCCCATGCTCTTCCCGCTCTCTATCAATTCATCCTCCTTCAAAATAACCTTGTCCTCAAGGTTGAAATCTCACAGACAGAGAGCTGAAATTCCCAGCCATAGAATAGACTGGAAAATATCCTTCCTCTCTTCCCTGAACCCTTTCTTGACCGGTTATTTCACAGTACTCATGCTATCGAGGGTCCAACTCTTCATCCTCCTCGGCTATCATTACCCGCAGCTTCTTAAAGGGACAATCATGCCCCGGTGTAAATGGTTTCTTACATCTAAAGCATAATCCTTTTGCCCTCAATTCTGCGAACTCCTTTGGCGGAAGACGAGTGAACTGAGAGCGTGTCGTAGGCTGTCCGGACAGCCCTGACTTCGTCCCCGGAGGCTGTCCACTATCCTTCGGGAAGCTGCCACTTGATCCCTGTAGGCTGCCACCACCGGCAGTCAACGAAGGACTCTTGTTTGGCATTGAAAAGCTGCTGGAACGTACCCCTGAAGGCTTATAATTCGGGATGCCACTTCCTCCACTCTGGACGGACAGATTGTACTCCACATCGCGAGCTATTTCCATGGCCTTTTCCAAATTATTCGGTCGAAATAAGCGCAACGAGCTTCGAATTGCTTCCTCAAGTCCACTCATGTAGTAGCCCAAATAATGAGCATCAGTTAATCAAAGAACTTGGCTAGCAATTAAACAAACGAGGAATTGTATTCCTCTACTGATCTAATCTGTTTGACGCTAGAAAGCCTTTCAAATATGTTCCCTTGGAATCGGGAATCGAATCTGGCCACCAGGACTTGCTTGAATTCTTCCCAGGTCATGCCCGGTTTACGTGCTTTCAGCCAGGTTACCCAGTAGAGGGCCCCTCCTTCCATGGCCACCATAACGGCGGCCACCTTTTTGTCTGGTAGGGTTCCATTTAATTCGAATTGTTGTTCGACACGAGCTATCCACCCGATCGGGTCCTCTCCGTCAAACGTGGGCAGCAAGGTGTGGTCGGTGATGCGCGGCAGGTTGTCGGCGATGGGTGCTGTCACGGCAGCACTTCCGACTGCAGCAGTGGAAATTTCTGGCGAGATTGGCGGCACAAGGGCTAGGGTTAGCGCCGCCAGAGAGGCGGCGATTTCAGCCAGCCGCATGCCGTGTTCTTCGAGGGTGTGATTCATCTGATTCTGCTCAACCGCCATTCGGGCTTGCTCCTCTCCCAGTCGGTGTTGCTTGGTCTCTAACTCAGTCAATCGATCGTTTTGAGATCTTGTCATCCTGGCGGGACGGGATCCGGCAGGTCGAACCAATTGTTGTATAGCAGAAAAATAAAAATCAAAGGGGTGAACCGTTGGCCAGATAATCAACGATAAAACTACCGTTGCCCAGAGCCAAAAGGCTAAAACCAATTTTATTCCAAGATAATAAGAATGAACCTTGACGAGGGGTATAAATAGCCTTCTACAAGAAACCCTAATCAAACCCAAATTAATTAAAACCTAATTAAGCCCAAATTAACTTAACTAACTACTCTACTAATAATAGGCCCAACTAAAACATAACATTAACTATAAAGACAGCCCTAACCCGACCCACGGAAGTGGGCCCAAGCCCTATCCCGCCCCATGCTCTTCTCGCCCTCTATCACAAACACTCAATATCCATGCCAGGAAACTACAGATGGCTATTTTTACCTAACAAGAGCAATTACATGTGCACATTTCCTAATAAGCAACAAGATTAATCAGACATTAGTAGTTTATATTCCATCTACTATAAATTAAATATCTCCGGCATGAGGTCGATCGAGTTCATATCTAATTAGTTGACTTATCTCCGTATAACTTTACATCAACATCGCTCACACTTCGAAAAATATGAGATTGACAAAACATAGACTTACAATGTTTCTACAACAAAGAGACACTAAATTGGATCAATAGCTAGGGTTGATGTTGTTGAAGGAATAGCATAGTGTACACTAATATGTAGATCCAGTTTATGGGATATGAGGCAATTAGCCATTGAAAAAGTGCATAGTAAAGCACTAAACATCCTCCATTATTTGAATTACAAGGAGATTGTAAACTGTCACTATAAAAACAAAAAATAAGGTTTGAACCAATGTCAATCCATTTTACCTATGATAAAAATCAGATTTGAAATATGCAATTCCACCCGGTGAGCTACTCTGTTTCCCAAACTATCGAGACATGGAATATATGAAAAGGTAAGATGTGAATCATGTGATATGATTTCAGAACAAGGTTCATCGATGACCTTACCGTTTTAATAGTAGGGATTCTCAAATTGCCAGGCACACCATCTATCACCAAATTAAACTATGTCTTCTCTTCCACGGAAGAAGCATCAGCAGCTCTCCGACCTCCCAATAGCAATGCCTAGAGCCTATAGGGACAGAACACACTCTCTATCTGTCATGTCAGACTCTGATTACAGTACAGCTTACCGGTCCGGTCGGGATTGGGGCCTCAAAGATGTGTGCCATCCTTTTTTTGCAATCGCTAGAGCGGTGATAAAACGTGCCAAAAGCATCATTGCAGCAGAGTAGCAGACTTTTCAATTCAACATGGGTGAGGCTTTAGATTTTGTCGCCGAGCCGCATCTCCTTCTCGAGTGCTTCTATGGAAACCTAGAAGGTTATAGTGAGTTTGGAAAATTGGTCCTTCATTTTTGTATTTTAGTATTTCTAACTAACCTAAGTATTAATTTTAGGCTTCAAAATTGCAATGGACTTTTACAATAATATTCTAGAATTTAAAGTAATTGTTGTGTAGAGAGTCGGTACGGTATCATACCGGTATACCGTGATATTTGAAAACATTTACCATTACCTTACTGATGGAGTATATGGCCCGGGAACCCCCGGCCCACAGACTCCTACTACTCCAGCGAAGGCCCAAAAGGCCCAAAAGGCCCAACAGGCCCAAATCACAGCGCCCAGAGTACCAAGCAGTCCGCACTACACGCCAGGGGTGCCTTCGGCCCCCTGGCCGAAGGCTCCAAATTCTCACAGAACGGGTTTCTCAAGCAAATTAAGAAACTGGGAGAAAACGGCGAAAACAGTAGCCCTCGGCATTGTGAGCCCTCGGCACCAGGGTGCCGTCGGGTGGAAGAGCCCTCGGCTACTGCTCTATAGCCGAAGGCATCTCACTCAACAAGATATCCGCCTCACATGCGTACAGATCACCGTACCCCGCACAGACGTCCCATCCAACAGCCGCATTAAATGCGGCCACATGCGGCTGCCAGCGCCAACCAGTTGAGGTGACCCCTCGGCCAATGAGCGCTTGACGCGTGTCCCTGTACGGCATTTATTGCTACTATAAATAGCACCCCATTTCCCCATTTGTAACCACGCTGAAAACGGCATTCATACTGAATACATTCTCTCTCTACTTTTACTTACTTGCTCTGACATCTCTCTAAGTTATTCCCCGTATTAACCCTTCAGATATATACCCCCGGGTAGACTATCCATCATTTGGTGCTCTCGTTGAGAGGTCGAACAATCGAGTAAGAAACTCTCCCCCTCGACCAAACACAAAACACTAGCCCTCTATCAAAATGGTGAGGACAACACGTGCCAACTCAAAAAACGTAGAAGACAAGAACCTGGCCCTCGGCGACGTCAACGCCCCCGAAGCCTCTCACAGGGCTCCCGAGGGCGGTGTCATCGCTGGGCTGGAACAGGCGGCTGTCGACCTACGCCTTCAGATCCAACAAAATGCCCCCGATGCCCGCCTCGGCATCGAGGCCAAGAAGAAAAACCGGAGCGATGACCAAGTCAGCCCTCCGGTTCTCACCATCGACGTGCAATCGGCGCTCTCCGCCTTCATCCAGACGCTCACCCAGAACCCGGGTGCCTTCGGCACCCTGGCTCCAGCTCACCCTCAGATCGGGGAAAATATCATACTTCCCCCTCTGCCACACCCCTTCGGAAATCCCACCCCTCGGGTGAGAAACGACGAAGGGGTGGTAGCCCAAGATACGTCCTCCCAGGAAGTTCAGTCCCGGGACCGCCATAATGACAACAGGGAAAGGCCCCGTACTTCCGCCCTAAACCGGCTCGGAGGAGGGCCAGACCGCCGAGGGGTCCAAGACCGCCTCGGGGGGAAAGCACTCCCAAGGCCCCAGGAAAGCGGGGGATCTGTTTCGAGGGCAGACGAGGAGCGTCCCCCTCGGGACAAAGGCAAGGCACCCCTTCATGCCGATGATGCTCGCCACCAAATCAACCAGGCCCACTCGGCCCGGGTTCGTTCGCAGGGGGCGGAGACCCTCCCGAAGGATCCCCGGGACGAGATTATTGCGGCCCTCCAACGCCGGCTTGACAAGATGGAGTCCAACAAAGCTCACGCCACCACCTC